GCTGCTTTCCTCTAGCCACTTTCCTTCCACTGTCCTTTGAGTATCAGATTTTCCAAGCCCTCCTTCCTCATTACGATCCCCAGAAATTTCAACTTGATGTTAAGTATAAGCTGCATTTTTTTTTCATTCTCTACAAAATCTCTTTCTTGCGTATATATGTTTGACTAATGGTAACCGCAGTAACTTTTTACAGAACCAAATTTCTGTTGCTTCAACTCTTTTCTTCATTTTGAGGAGAATGTCAAGCATTCGCTGCCATACAGGGGAAATATATCATGTAACATTTCAGCACTTTTTACTTTGTTTCCAACGAAATTTTGCTGTCATTTAATAATCTTCTTAACTTTTGGAATGCAGCTTTGACCATCGCAAGGAGACTTCGGATACTTAAATTCAGGTTTTAGGGAGACTGTAAAAGTTGGGTATTCTACGACCATTTTCTATTAGTTTTTGCCATGATTTATTTTCGTTTTTAATTAGTTTTCTAATCTCGTCAATAGTTTTTGGTGTTTCAGTAATTATTTTATCTTTGCTTATTTTTTCATATATGTTGGTATGGTTGAGTAGACATTTTTTTTTATTAACGATACCAACACATATACTAAGATGAAAATATTTAGAAAGTTCTTTGATCTCAAGGCCCTCCATAGTAAATTTACTCTATGACTCTTACAACATGTATCATTCCTGCAAGATATTCTATTATCACAGACTGGGATATCTAATAAAAGAATTTGTGGAAACAAAAAAATGTAAAAGTATCTCAATGAAATCGTCTAGATTATATATATATATATATATATATATATATATATATATATATATATATATATATATAATCGCTATATATACATATATGTATATATTCCGTTCTTACATTACCTCTTTAGCCAGTATTTCCTGACGATCCGCGTATGTGAAAACTTGATATGTGTATCTGGCTCTTTAGGTTTAGTTAGGTTTGTTCTACTTATCGTATTGAGCATTTTACTTAGTTATTTTTGCTTACTCGTAAAGGTTTTTTTTCTTTGAATTCTGAACTTGGATGCTAGACGATTGTCTTCGGTTAACGTATATATTCTCTGTTTATTGTCTTTTTGTACCTTTTATTTTTCCTTGGGTATTGGTCTGTTTATTTACATATCAAGGGACCCAAGTTTTTCCGGACGAGTATAATTTCTTATATTTATAAGATTATCTCTAGTATATATATATATATATATAACGATAATATATATAAATATATATATATATATATATATATATAAGGATAATATATATATATAAATGTCTATATATGTGTATATATGTATATATAACGATAATATATAAATATATATATATATGTATATATAACGATAATATATATATATATGTATATATAACGATAATATATATAAATATATATATATATATGTATATATATATGCATATATATATATATGTATGTGTATATAACGATAATATATATATATATATATATATATGTATATATATAATGATAATATATAAATATATTTATATAAATATTTAATATGAAATATATATATATATACATATATATATAAAATTTTATATGAAATATATATATACATATATATGTATAACGATAATATATAAATATATATATATATATATATATATATATATATAAATATATATATATATATATATATATATATATATATATATATATATATATATATATATATATATATCACTGTATCTCCTTTAGTTTTTTGAGGAATTTTACCCACAGTCGGCTTGCTAAGACAGCCATAGCTTCAACAGTGCCCTGATGATTATCATAACCTGTTTCCAACCCCCACGACAAGGACGAGAGTTTGAGATTTAACTATTTCTACGAGCATACACCGTCTGGTACTTTGGCTGGAGAGCCAGAGGTAGAACAAGAAGACGCTGAAGTGACTCAGTGGCAGACACCCTCAGAGCCTACGAGATATCTCTTCTCCAGTCCACTCTCCTTGCCTCTGACAAACGATTGTGTCTCCCCGCGACGCCTAACAGCTCAAGCGGCAGAAAAAAAACTACACTAAACTATATAAAGAAATAGAAAAAAATATTAAAATTCCCGGCATCCCTCTTGGGTGCGTATATGTAGTCGCACCAACACAAGAATTTAGTCGGTTAAAGTCCTAAAGGACGAAACGCGTCACACAAAATCTTTTTCCCACTTTAGCATATATTTAAACCCAATGTTGTTCTTCATATATAAATGGTATGGTATATATCCTTATCTCATACACACACACACACACACACATAATATACATATATATATGTATGTATATATATATATTTAATTAATTCATTGAGTCTGATAGAAACCTCAACAGGAATAGAGGAAGCACTGGACGGCCGTTTCGTCCTATAATTGGGACTCATCAGCAGTGCGCATCCACCACCAAGTATCGAAACCCTGACAGTTGGGTTGTCAAGCGAACTGTACCAAATGGGCCTCAGTAACGAAGAGATTCCAAATCAGACTCAACATAGCGCCGCTCGCTCACATATTCCGTGGCGGAACTCTACTGAGTTCTCTGTAACCATAGGACTGTGCCCCCGGGAGCCACGACTACTCTCACCCAAAAAATATATATATATATGTATGTCTAATTTCGTCTAATATTTTAGTATATATATATTTTATATATGTATGTCTAATTTCGTCTAATATTTTTATTTTCAAATAATATCCACACTTTGCTCATTTAAAACTACCAAACCGAATATTCTCCTTCTCTTTGAATTTTATTAAAAATAACCAGATAATATTTGCATTATACTTAAAAGTCCCCATCATCATCTGATTTTGTCTTAAATTTTTACACATCAATTTTTGAAGCAAATATACTTCTTTCCTCCCAGTTTCAATTAATGATATTATAAAATGTAAGACGCCAGATACGCATACGCTGGGATTCTGTTTTTCTGTGGCATTCAAAATGATTCAATTCCGTTTCATGTATACCCATGTGTACATTACTTTACGCTCCTTACACTGGAACTTAATCCTGTATGCACTCACACATAGTTCTTTAAGTGTGTATATACGTGGGTAGAGATGAATGATTTCTCCTTTACTTTCTAAAGATATTACAAGAACAAATAAATAAGCAGAATCCTTTTTGTCTGAACGGTAATATTTCAACATCGCCGCATCGTACATAACAAAATGTGTGTTTCTATGAGTATTCCTCTAGATACATTTGACGTGTAGAGTATTAAATTTCATAAAATATGTGCATATTTTATGCAACGAATATGATTTCACCCATTTACACTGATTTTGTATTTACTAGCTTCTATATCTAATTTACTCAGCGGGAATGCGTCAAGAAATTTGGACAGGAAACACACACACATATATATATATAGTATTTCATCTTTATGAGGTTTATAAAATAATGTTCATATATGTTGGCGCAAACAAAATGTAAATTTTGCACCTTTAAATAAATGAAATCGATAGTATTTTCGAGGAGGCTGTTAAGAAAAAGTAATTTATGTTTTCATTCAATGTAAAGCATTTACTGTCATTACTGAAAATGGAAAATCTTTTTGAAAGCATTTTTCATGTCAACAACGTTCGTTTTGTAAGCATCTTAAGCCATAAAGATGAGTCTGTTCAGTGGGTCTCATTTTGTAAATGTTTTCGTTTATTTATTATTTTAATCATTTGTCTCCATCAAAATGTTCGTGTCACTAAGACACAAGAGATTAACAGTAGTGAAAGACAATAAGAAGACATTAGTTGTAAAAAAGGGTAATAAAATAACAGGAATCAGGAAAATATAAGATTGTGATATACATTTTTAAAGATTGTAGGTCGCATAGCAGCAAGAAACCGGGAGAGCTTTCCACAGCCGAGAAATGCGAGAAAAAGGAACTCTTCGAATAAAATGCAAGCTTTCAGCTATCTATTTCCACAGTAAAACAATGAAACCTTGTTGCCAATGTAGTAATACGTTTAAATACTAAGGGCAGAGTTCATTAGAACAATTGTCATGGAAATATTTCGTGAAAAGTATGAAGGGAGCCAAACCACGGCGGTGTAAAAATGACTGAAGTTGGGATGCCAGTTCAAGACGGATAAAACTGTAAACCCTTCTTTGAACTTTATCGAGAGACGGATATGCAATCGGACTGGACCTGATCTGGCATCTCGTTTATATTCGCTCTCTCACAGACGTGCTGTCGCCTCCCTCTTTCTTTTCTACAAATACTTTCAACTGCTCCGACGAGCTATTTTCGCTAACTGTACCAGCTTACAGCAACCGCCGTCTGTCGAACTCTCTGCATTAGCAGGGAGGAACCCGGACGAGGCTTTGCTGAAGGGCAAGGTTTCGTTCGGGGAGGTTATGACAGCTCTCGAACTCGCCTAGGCGAGTCGAGGGCTATATTTTTGGCCGGGCCTACGGGCTCGGGTGACCACGTAAAACTCGGCCTTGTGCCACATGCGACCCCTCGTGGGGGGACAGCTAAATATAGCTATTTTCGCTAGTTTCCGAACTGCATGAATTTAATCGTGCTACTAGGTTGGCATCTCAGTCCCAGCTTTTCACTGCCGAAACGGTTAAATGTAGCCGTCTCTTCTACTGCAATAGCTTCATGTCTCGCACTTCTCGTCTGTGGAAGTCCCTTTTCTCTTACTTGCTTTCCTGATAGCTATAATCTCCAACTATTCAAATGCAATATCAGTCGACATCTTCAGATGCCTTGATCTATTCCCCATCCTTCTCTTCATCCTTTCCTTTATCACGCCTCTTTACTCTTGCCCCCACTCTGTAACTCCTTGCGTGCAAGTGGCATTACCGCCTTGCTTGGGGTGAAAAGCTTAAAAACTCGAGATATAGTGACAGAGTATCTGTCCAAATATGGTGGCAATATTCAATGCACAAACGAATGTTAGATCTATAAATGTGCAAGATGGATTTTGAGTAGAAATATCTTCTTTTAAAACACAGTAAATCGACTATATGTTCTCTATCATTCGCTTGTTGTATTTTATTGTTATCTGTTACTTTTTATCTCTCTTATATTCATATTGTTTTTTTCTTTCTTTCTTCCCTGTTGTCTTCATTTTTCTTCTTTCCTCTTCCATATTCAGTGCAATCGTTTGTTAGTGAGTGACATCAACTTTCCACTGTTTTCTAAGGCTATATGTAATTATATCTGCTAGTTTTATGTAGCAGAAAGATTTTAGTACATAAGCACACATTTCAGTATTTTTCCAGTTTCAGCAAGTCTGATTTCAAATTTTCTTTATTTTTCTAATCATACCGTTTTTGCGTCTTGTTGTTTAAGGTTCACTTATTTCTGCTATGATGATTCTGTTATCAAAATCTTATTACACCATTTTTTTATATGGTCGTTATAACCCCTTTAACAGCTACTCTCTAACTTGATTGTATTAGATGAACATGGCTATATAAAAAACATCAGCTAGAATACTTATGAAAATGCTTGAGTTTTCAAGAAACTTCATTCAATCATACATTCACTAGCTACTATGCGTATGAAAATTTACTACAGGGACGTTAGCAGAAATTATGGTCATTGATAGAGACTGAGCTGGATCGTTCAGTTGGCCATTCATTATATTTTATAATGGGAAAATAAAGACGTGTTTCCATTATTTATATAGCTATTCCAAAACATGAACGCCGCAAAAAAAAAAAAAAAATAATGAGGAAAGTTAAGCATGTATTCTACGGTAAAGAATATAGAAGTCACTAGTGAGAATATAAGCTGTTATCGGTGGAGTGTTAGTCACTCTAAAGTCTGGACTCACTATCTTGAACTGATCTTGAGAAGCAGGAGGACAGGAGATTTATTACTAAGAAATGCTCTACATAAAGTCGAAAAAAGGTCTATTTTTGCGACTTGTTTGCTTCATAAAACCAGGCTAAAAAGCTATCAAAGAATATGAAAAAAAAATAATTGGCCTTAATCTTCGTTATGGCGGGGATAATATTACTACAGTACTCCAGCTTCCATTTTTATTCTTCGCATGAATCATATCAATTATAATGACAGAGAAAGGATAGAGAAAGATATACGACGATGATCAGTGCCACAAATATTCATTTCTATACTTTCTTTTATTTAAAATAACACGATTTTTGTTCGGTTCGTGTCTACTCTTGCCATAAACAGCATTAATTGTCTCCTTCTAAGACTTTATTGACACATTCTTTATGAATAACGCCTTCCCGTTTATATTTCGATTGACGTTTCCTCTTTTGATGTATATATTATTTATATTTGATTATTTCATTTACTCTTTCTTCCAAGGATATATTTACAGTGGATATTTATTCTCTATGTTTTTGTGGCGAAGCATTATTGTTTATAGACAAAAAAAGTTGATTCTTTATTTATTTAATACCTACACCTCATTTTCCTAAAAGAAAAATAAATCAAAAAGAAAATGAAACATCCGAACCATGTTAAAATTAGTTGTTTTCCAGTTTCTTTGTGTATTTGTAAAGTCAATTAGCATTTATATATATATATATATATATATATATATATATATATATATATATATATATATATATATATCTGTGTGTGTGTGTGTGTGTGTGTGTGTGTGTGTGTGTGTGTGTGTGTGTGTGTGTGTGTGTGTGTAAATTGTTGCCAAATCATATATCTTAAATTTCGGACATGCGCGTTGTTTGTTCTTCATTTTGTCGCCGGAACAATACTGCTTAAAAGCCTCTTTACTCTTGTTCTCTACCCTCTGTAACCCCTTGCGTGCTAGTGGTACTCCCGCCTTGCTTGGGCTGAAATGCTTAAGATAAACAGGAACACACTTAGGAAATGAATTTATTCAACCATATGAAAGCCAAGATCATATCACGTATCATATTAGATAACTCATATTTCTATTATTACGTTTTCCAGTGTCTTTGGGTATTTTTTAAAATCAATTAGCAAATATATATATATATATATATATATATATATATATATATATATATATATATATATATATATATATCAGTACCTGTATGAAAACACATTTGATGGAAAATCATTTATTTAATATAATGAATGAAAAACAGTTTTAATTTGATTCACATTTTTACACCAATCAGTTCTCTCTCACTGGCTTCCATCAGCATGCATGATGCTAACCTCCAAACAAGTGACTCGTTATCCTTTCTAGCTGACATCTAGGGGAAGACTATATTGAATACATTGATAGGTCAATTCTGCTCTCCAGAATCTATCTTACGTATCTATAAGTCTACCATTCGTCCATGCCTAGAATTATTGTCCCATATGGTTCGGAGATCTATTATTTACCTTGTGAACCTGATAAAATCCAAAGAAGAATCAGCAATATTATTGGTCCTGATCTGGCGGCTCAAATTCAGCCATATTTCCACTGCCATAAGGTTCCCTCTCTGTGTCTTTTCTATAAATACTTTCATGGTAATTGTTTGGATGAGCTCTTCCCTAAGGTGCCTACACTTTTTGAATTTAAGCGCAGTACTAGACGGGCGTCGAGTTCGTATCAATTTACAGTTTAGCTGCATATGTGTAACCATAAATTCTATACTAACAGTTTCCTTTTTAGCACATCTGTCTCGTGGAACTCCCTTCCGACCCCATATTTTCCAGCCAGGTATCATCTTTAAAAATTTAAATGTAATGTCAATCAATGTTACTGTTCCATGGTTTCTCTTTTCTCTTCCCGCTAATTATTAATGTTTTTTTTCTAATTCTTCCACGTCCAGTATCTTCTTGTGTGTTAGTGGCTTTTCTGCCGGGGAAACCGATGCATAGCTACAACAATCTTTAAAAAATTGCCGTTTCATAGGTCCATTTTAGTTGTGAAATGACTACTCACAACAAACATACGACAATTTGACACTATTCGGCGATTGCGACATCATAAGGATGTCGAATCCAAACATATGTAGCTAACAATACTTACAAATGTAAAATATAATAAAAATTATATTAAAAATAATTTAGAAAATTATTATATGCTTAAAACTATTTTTTTGTGAAAAACTATAAACAGATCGGGGAGATTGCACATTTTATCGAACAAAAACAGGTCAATGAGTCTGCGCAGCACACACAATATAGGTATTTCCGTTTCCTTTTGGAAAAGTGATGATCGGAAATTTTGATAAATACCTTCAATTACAACATAAATAATAGTAGAAAACACTGGCCGTAATGAAATTGAAGAAGTTCAACACATAGTGTTTGATTACTAAACAATGGGTGCATATTATGCGTAGATAGAAGCATTTCCTCACACTTTCAGCACAATATTATGGGTGCATATCATGGATGAAGGCATATTATACATGAGGAATTACGGTAATTGTTAAACCAATAACATGTCACCTATTATTGAGCAGTAGTTATCAGTCATAGAAGTTGTCTATTCATTTAGGATTTTTTTTTTATTTCTCTCCCTTGTTTAGTTAGTACAATCATTCTTTTATAATGCCGTTTTTATTCAACATCATGACCCGTCACAGATTTCTTATTTTATTATCTGTGAACTTTTCTGCATTCTTGGAAAATAAAGTGGAGTGGTTTCACGTTAACTTTTCCATGATTTGGAATTGAGAATTTTCCCTCTTTTAGAATGATTGCTTCCCTACCCAAAACGAGAAAACCAAGCCTATCCTGATATTTAACCCATAACCGGTGAGAAAAAAAGTAAGATCCATGCCTTTTTCTAAATGCATCTGTTCGAATGTAAATGCAACATACTGATTCCGAATTTGAACCCGGAAAGATAATTACACTTACCGCGACGATATACACTAAAAAACAATCCGATAATCGAGCGATAGTTAAGGGTTTGCAAATAATTCAGTATACAAATGACACATCATAATACACAGGAAACTGTAAATAACGCAGAAGTTTGGAGAATAATGTCAAGTAGATGTCTACAATAATGAACAAATTCCTGTGTTTAACCTGACATTTTAATACAACATTCTTGAGCAGCAAAATAGGTGTCAGTTTGTTAATGTATCCCATTCTCCTTGTTTTGAAAACTGAGCGTAATGAGACAGGTTTAGTTGGATCTTTTTTTGTACATCCCGACAAAGAGCTAACTTCCATAATTTTAAATTTTCTTTTATGTCCATTGTCCCTTCAGGACGTGAGTGATCACAACTTTATGTCCCTGGTAATTTTAATCAACACATGACCCATTACCATCCCTAATTGTCCCCTTTCTGCTATCAATTCACACAACTTCCGTTTCTGTGTTATTTGCAGTTTCCTTCTGTCGCGTCTTCCTTCCTTCAATATATCATGTGAGTGTTTAATAGAAGTATAAACAGAAAATAATGATTGAATTGCGATTCTTTATCTGCTGATGAGTCAAGTTTCTAGCAGTTTCCAGTTTTGGCTAGAAGAGGCTAAAGCTGACAGATTTCTAGATATAAAGTAAAAAAAAACATATATAAGTGGTGGTATTTTGAACTTGTATCTTTAAAACAAAATTAACAAAATAGCTAGTGTTAATTAACATATTAAATATATTCCGTTAGCACACACTCTAAATTTTAAACCCGTGTTTATGTATTACTTTTTTTTTCCTTTTATTCTTCCATGCTTGAAAATTGTGAACATTAGATTTCAGTGTCAGAAAAACGAAAAAAACTCGTCTTTTTTTCTTCTTTTCCTACTTTGTGCCGTGTCCTTTCAGCACGTTGGCGAACATGGTCCTCCACAATTTTCTGTTCAATCTAGAACTTCTATCTTTTGTCAATATGTTTCATTTGCTTCCTGATAGCTTAGAATATTTTGTATCTATATTTACAATGAGCAATGTATTGTATTTTGGTATTATCTCATAATATGTGTGTTATGCCAATAGCTGTATATTCGTTGTTTGTGGTGTGCTCATTGAAATGTACTTTAATTGCATTATTTCGGTAAATCCCAAGTTAACCGATATGAGAGAGTGATGATTGTGTTGCTGTTGAGTTGTATTGCAGTAATTTCTCGAAAATAATACGCACTCATAAATAATACGCAACCCTACAAATGATCCAAAAATTAAGAAATATATCTATCTCTCTGTATAATAACCATATATAAATTTTGTCAAAAAATAATTAAGAAGGCATTTTGTCGACCTTAACATTAAGAATAAAATCGAAACTCAGCGGGTAAATTAATTTTGAAAATTACTATGCAGTTTTCCTGATAAATATAATATTTTGTTTTACCGCCACAAAATGTTGTCAATACGTTCGAGTTATAGTGCAAATTTTAAACAAAACGTAATACAATTAGCAGCAAGAATAGAAAACTGAGCTGCACGTAGAGAATATGAGTCTCTAGCTCAAGCTCGCCAGGCATGCTGTGTCTTGCATTCATTTGACAGACTTACCTTCAATCTGTCATGTAAGTATGACATTTTTCAAGACCTCATTCCTCATTTTGTACCCTCAGAAATTTCACCAGTCTCTTCATGATGTTACTGTTAGCACTGTTCATTGCAGTACTAACTTTTGTCCTTTTGCCAATATGTTTCATTCGCTTCAGGATAGCTTAGAATGTTTTCAAGCTTTCTTTTAAATGAACAATGTATAGTATTTTAGTATTATCTCATAAGTCTTGGGTATGACCTAAAACTATATCTGACAATGGAACTCGATTAAGTGACAGAATTAGAGTACCCCGAACAATTGTTACCTACGGGTGAACCCTGGCTAAGATCTAGCACCTGTTTGTCCCTCTAACAGGCTTACGGTATTTATTTTTTAAGTCTCCTAAACCATATTCACTAGTATATTAACTCAAGCTTGCCAGGTATGCTGTGCCTTGCTTTCATTTGAGACTCTTACCTTCAATCTGTCATGTGAGTATGTAAATTTCCAAACCTCATCCCTCATTATGTGCCCCCAGAAATTTCAGTTTTCTCTTCATGTTGTTAAGCATAAGTGTACATTTTTTGTCATTGTCTCTAGAACATTGTTATTTCTCACATGTTTGGTATTCTCATCATCTTACTATAGGACGACATTTCTGTGCTTCAAGTCTCTTCTTCATTTGTGAGAAGATTGTCCATCATTTACTCACGTATATGATTACTGATACTACATAACAGCTCAATACTCTTTTCTTTGTCTCGAGCGATATTTTCCTATTTCTTAATACATTGTTCAGCTTTTGGAAGGCAAATTGTATCTGCTTGACTTCGGTATATCCAATACGTAATCTGCATGTCGGGTTGTTCCTTTTACTAAAAACCATATATTCACTCTTTTTCCAATTGATGCTTAGTCATTTCTTCTCGATTTCCTTCATAACAGTCTGTCTATATTTCTGAGATGAGGTATTATGTACATTATTTACATTATTCGGACAATTGTCCTCATCTTTGTCGCCATACTTATCACAAAGTTTCGGCCGTTGTACGCTCCGGCCTTCTTCAGGGGGTTGGAATGTCGAACTGAAACCTTTATATCGCTCACGGTGGTAGGCTGTCCTAGTTCCACGTGCCATGCTTGATGGATGTCAGCTATCAGTTATCTCCTGTTAATTTTCCCTCTGAAAATCTCCACTATCTTAACCGGGTATTGAACTCACACTCTTTGGGTCTTGTCACTGGATCTAACCAACGCCTTTATCCACTGTGCCATGCGTCCTTTCAGACTTGGTCTGATTTGACTCTTGTAAAGATAGTGTTTAGCAATGGTAGTTGGGTGCATTCAGAAGTCGTACAAGGAACTGACCACTTTTCCTGTATCCTTTTCAATGTCACCAACATACGTGTTCCATTTGAGGTATGGAAGGAACTTTCAACACAGTTCCAGGCAAGGAGCCTCTATATGGGTATGACCACTCATCAGGATTGAATTGTTAATAGATTTGTTTTGGAGATATTGTTGAATATATCTGAAAAACAGATTTCATGGACCTTATTTTAATTCCACATTGCTACAGGCATTTGTTCATCAGCTGAGAGGGTGCAGTAAAACCGAAAACTGGAACCATAATAATATGATACAAATATTTGGTGCGGTATATACATTTTAATCTCGTGATTCCCCGTTCAGATTTATTGTCAAATCTTGCCTTATGATTAGAAACACATCCTGGAGATATATTATCGGAAAAAGTTCAGTAGATATGTATCTTGTCATTTAATATTTACGAGTAACGTTCGCCGTATTCTTTCAAATTCCAATATCGAGGTGATAACTAGGCGATCAAGTTTGTTACGCAAACAGAAACACATTGCCGCCGACAATACGATTAGCTGTCGACTGACTTGTAAAGAAAGAACAATACATTTAGTGAGAAATCAGAGATAGTATAAGTGTTTACTGGGTTCTAAACTAAAATATTTAGACGCACCTTTATAAGATTTCCGTTTATATTTTTATATTTTATATTTTTTTTAAAGTACTGCTGCTTTTTGCTTCGTTTATTTTTCTATATAATAAACAAAATTTCCCGCTTTGACAATGGCCGAATTTTACTTATGTTTTATTAACGTTTTCGGCATTATTCACAGTTCAGGAAGATCCGTGAAATATCGTTAGCATCTGTAATACGTAACTTACAAATAACGTCAAAAACAGTCACTTGAACAAACATTACACTCATAAATATATTTCGACCAAGAATATAACTTTCTTTCAGTTTCGTATACAGTATTATCCAAAGGTTGGTGCTAGAAACCAAAATATGTTTCAATGTGTTATGATAGAACCTTTTTCGTATCTGTCTATATTTCTGAGATGAGGTATTATGTACATTATTTACATTATTCGGACTATTGTCCTCATCATTGTCGACATATTTATTACAACGTTTCGGCCGTTGTACGCTCCGGCCTTCTTCAGGGGGTTGGAATGTCGAACTGAAACATTTATTTCTCTCACTGGTCTAGACAGTTCTAGTTCCACGTGCCATGTTTAATGGATGTCAGTTATCCTTTATCTCCTGTTAATTTCCCTCCGAAAGTTCGCCACTGCCTTAACCGGGTATTGAACTCACACTCTTTGTGTCCTGTCACTGAATCTAACTAACGCCTTTATACACTGTGCCATGTGTTAAACATTTTGTTTATATAGCATGTCAAAATCCGATGTCATTTTGTATTTTCAGTTTGGATATATTGAATGAATTATTTCTGTTATTCTACATCATTCATTCTTTTCAATTATTTATATATATATATATATATATATATATATATATATATATATATATATATATATATGATAAAATTAAAAAGATTTGAGGTAACTCAGTAATTCATCGAGTCTAGAAGAAACCTCAACAGAATGACTATATATATATATATATATATATATATATATATATATATTGAACATAGACGTCAACACTTAGAGGCGACAGTCTGTTTCATGCTGGATGCAATCGTCAGGCAACAAGTCCATATATATATATATATATATATATATATATATATATATATATATATATATATATATATATATATGAATGATAGAAATTAAGGAGAATCTGAGATAAGCAATTCACCGAGTCTAGAAGAAACCTCAACAAAATGTAGAAAAATATATATATATATATATATATATATATATATATATATATATATATATATATATATATATATATATTCTAGTGAATACAGGTGTATGGTGGTATATTAGATAAGGCCTCAGGTTAGTTAAAATATTGCAGAGCCGGGTCTGAATTCCAGTCGAGTTTCTTAGAATCACCTACGCGCAAATATAATTAGGGAAGTTATGAATCATTCCATGTTAGGTAGTACGACTTGTACCTGGAAAAAACGTCGTTATCGCCGAAGAATTGTTAATGCAATATTCCCCCGCAAAAAAATAATGTTTAAATCCGATAAGCCACAAGTGATTGCTAAACATTTAATAACAAATGAATCGAATGATTACTTTCTTTTTCTTGATATTATATCTCGTTCTTAATCACATGTCGAATCCTTTATACTCAGCAATATCTTACGAATGCTGTATGCAATACACTTTCGAGGAAGGTCGAAAAACATATCATTCCGAAATATTATGAACCTCAAATAATTCTATATTGATTTATATTCCAGGATCCACCAGTCAGTTCCTGGAACTGTGAAAGCATATCTCGCTACTTCGTACGCGTAGTGAGTAGACAATATCGCGGACCAGCACGTGTGATTAAACTTGCCGGGAACACACAGAAATATCTGACCATATCTCAACTTAGACCCGCCACATTGTACTGTGTTGACATGTGGTTTCAAACCAATGAAGCCTTTATTAGCCCGTACACAGAACAAAAATGTGTAACTACACCAGAGACCGGTAAGTAGTCAATTTTGCAAAAGAGATTGGTTACTAGATTTTGTTTAACGGTATATCAACCACTATGGGTTATTAAATATCGAAGTCAAAATAGTTTCAGCACAGTTTACTGACTTTAACTAAATATATTGTGAACGCATTTGCATGCCTTCAGCATGATATAAAATGTATTGCTTTTAATTTTACTTTAAAAATGAATTGTTGGTAATTTCACTATATGTACTGCTGGTATTTTTTATTATATTAAAATGTATTGCTGGTATATTTACTATGTAAATGTATTTTTATATTTTCATTGTTTTGTTTTTGTTTATGGGGATTCACAATTTGCTCATAGCTTGGATTCTATCAGGAGCTCCCAACCCGGGTCAGGGTGAGCCTGGGAATAACAGTAATTAAGCGCTCGTTCCACGCTCCTCTGAACCTCTAATCTTCCAATCAGAGGTCTTGCTGCCGGATGTATTCTATCGTCATACCCAGGACTTTGCAAAAGAGTGATGTAGCGAGACGGCGTTGAGTATTCGTACACTTGGAATGAATCTGGAAGATTAGAATTGGTTTCATTTTAATTTTTAATTATACAATCCTCTTGTTTCAGCCCAAGATAACACGATGATAGCTAATTTTGAAATGATCTTTGCCTGTAGCCTGAAATTTAACGACCCCCGGATGCAAAGTTCAAACTTTGGCGAGAAGTGTTTTCGATCTTTGAACTGATGCACAAAGTTAAGGCATGAATCCATTCCTCACCAACTATAGGCTAAATACCAAGGCAAACTGGAATATCAACGTTTGCTTTAGAAGAATAGAAGGCTATCTCGTAATTAAAAAACATGGAGAACGCAATGGAAAATAATTATATTGTCTTTTCAGAAATTATCAGGGCAACGTACATATATTGGGTTCGTGCATAATTATCAGGCGTTTTTGTAGGCGAGTAATAAAAATAGTTTTATTCAAAAAATTTTTTTAATAAAAATATTATGTTATTTTCAGGTTATAAAAATGCGTGTCGATAATAATGTTACTGTTGAATTGAGTTTATTTTTTCATAATAAATATTGTTTAAAAACGCCAGAAAATTATGCACCAACCCAATAAAAAAAAATAAAAAAAACAAAAAAAAATCACTGCACAGTGCTGTGGTCGCTAGTCTCCTGAAGGAATATGACAATTTAAGGGGAAGAATTTAAAACATAAAATGAGAATGTGTCCGTTGAGCCATGTTTATGGTTTTTCTTCGAATCAAAAATCGAAAATAAACATGGTAGATTGAATGACGCGGAAGAAAAATGTGAAGAAAAAACGTGTCAGGTAAAAGACAAAATAAACATAATTTGGTGAAGGCAAGATGTAAAGAGAAAACAAAAGGAAATTAATGTAGAGAGACATGATATGGAAAATATCGATTTTAAATCGTAGGCGGAATGGAAAATATTATGTTTCGCAAAGTTTTATGTCCTTTCAAGCGAGTGATTTTGTCACATTTGTTGGTGAAACAGAATGAACGCGTGTAATGGTCTATATTTGTGTATGATTTTATAGATTCTCGTGTCAGATTTAAAATACTTAACAACTATTGTAGACTTTATAAATTTTTATATATATATATATATATATATATATATATATATATATATATAAAAGATACCTTAGCTTTAGATACATACAGATAGAGAGAGAGACATCCACATACAAGACTGTTTCGGTCTATCACAGCTCATCAGTGTTGCTAGACATCCGATTGCTTCAAACCGATTTATCGAAGACCCTACCTCTAAGCTATCGGTGAATGGCTAAGAAAGAATTTTTTTACACATTATATACGTGATGTATATAAAAACCATTAGCCAATAGCGCTCAATTCATAACAGAAAAGTGAGGCATTAATAAAGATGAAAGGAAAACTTGTCTTAATCAATGCGTTTTTTCTTCTGAGGGACTTTATCAAGGCTAATAAAAAGGGAGGACGTTTATTTTGTATTTTGCATTTGCATTGACAAATCTTTCAGATGACGAAACACGCCCGCTAAGATAAACTTTCCTTTTCTCTTTATTCATATTGTTATTTTACAGAATGATTCCATCAGAAGATTTTCCACACACACACACACACACACACACACACACACACACACACACACACACACATATATATATATATATATATATATATATATATATATATATATATATGAGGGGTGTCTGCAGTTTTATGTTAAATTACGGAGGGTGAAAAAGTTTGGGAAGGATTGAAAAAAGTAGCTCAGGGCACGAGGTGGGGAATGTTGTGACGATCGTATTTGATTAGATGATGCGTTTATTTTATTAAATTATTTTGTTAAAATCTTTCGCCATCCTCTAGAATTTGCAGTTTGTATATAGCTGCAACATTTAGAGTGCATCAGAACGTTGGCGTATCTATTTAATTAATCAGTCACATGGTATGAAGGATTTCATAACCAAATGTCATAAAATGTAAACATATTTTATCTGTTTATTTTCGACATCATCAATTATCCAAGTTTTTCCTTCAATATCGTCAAAACAAGTTTTATTATTTTGTAGGATTGAGTGAATTTTTATCAATTAGAGAATTCCCTGCACTTGATGGAGCATTTCTGAAAGTGAATTGAATAAAAATTTTCCATTAATTCGGATGCGACCATGAACGAATTAACCCTTGAATCTCTCTAATTTTATATTCGTGTCGAGGATTTATTCCTTTTCATTTACATTCATGGAGATTGTTTATCATTTTAATTTTCCAATTTTTCTCCTCACGTACCTATTCGTAGACATGTCCAATGCTTTTATTGAGATTTTCCTCTTAAAAACCTTTTAATGAATATATAGAATTTTTACAGCCAATTAATGTACGTAGCCTAACATGGAAATGCATTTAAATAAAAATATGAGACAAATATATCAGACTGAAAGGCTTAATCGATTTGTTAAACATAATAAATTGCAACATTAAATTTTCTCATCAAGATAATATAATGTTCGAAACCGAATTACAGGCAGCCAATGATGTTTATATACTTTCGGTGGCTATATGAGCCTTGAAATTAGTAACTCTTACTGACTTCTTCTACAAGTAAATCCAGTTTTAATATCTGGTCTTACTTTGACCAATATAAAAGCAGATTTCTTACAGTTTATTAAGAATATTCGTGAAATTGATTTTAAACCTTGAACTTTATTTCGTAAGTTCAATTTCTCTGTGGTATTACAACAAATACAAAATATCTTCCAAAATATGACTGCATTTATTTCGCAATATAATCGCAAATGGCTTTTCGGTAAGTGAAGATTATGTTGATATTCCACATGACACAGCTTCTTCGTTAAAACAATGGTTGCAAATAATGAATCCTGGCAGGACTTCTAATTGATTCAGGATTACTTCACTGCAAAGCTTGGATAAATCTGGTGATAAAACCTAGCATTGTCTTTAGCTCAGCCCAGATTTAGATGAAGGGAGGTCCTAGGATATCCAACATGTGAGAACCTTACAAACCCTTCATTTTCATGGGTATAGGAAATTGGAAGAGATTTAAATGAAATTATCTTAGTAAAGCCGAGTCTGGTGACGCGTGTTTAAAATTAGGGAAGTCCAAAATGCGTTATTACAGCATGTGTAAGAAAGGCCTATGACAGGGTCAAAAATATTATACAAGTTTGCTGGAGGTCCCCTAGATTTTATGACCCTAAGCTTCTGCCTCGTAAGCCTAAATCCCGCGTTGCTTACACCACTTTATAAACTAGTACTAAAATTTTCAATTATCAAACATTCTTTGAAACAGCATTTAATTTTGTAATAAATTCAACTGCGAGCAGAAATATTATTATAATTTTAATTTGTTTTCAGATTATTATATATTAAACCCTCCATGTCACGAATATTAAAATGATTAATTATATAAAGGCTAATTCTAGGTGATTTCATAAATTTTAAAACATTTTTTTTAAATTCTTAAACTGTATTGACTAATTCGATATGATGTGATAATTAGGAAACTTGTATCGCCAAATCAATTACAACTCAGAAGTGAGTTCGATGTTCAATGAGTCCTCCATATTCAGGGCCTTATGCCACCTCTAAGCTACGCTTATAAATTCGTAATTTTGAGTGGTTAATCTATAGTATTCTCACGGGTATAGGATTTTCGAATTTACAAATAATATACATGACATTCTGATTAAATGTGTTTAATTCTTTTTATATTCTTGATCTTGAGTTCTTAATTAATATATACTAATCTATATCCTAATTTAAAAATATATATAGCAATACGTATAAAAATATGATCCAGGGTAGCCACTAAAAGACTGAATGATATAAAACAAATATAACTTTTACAAACACATGAGTATCTTGGTGCAGTAAAGTTTGAACCATTTGAATCCTGAATGGAAAAAAATTTAAATTCAATTTCAGTATCTTCTGAAGCGATGTTCTGGTAATGCCTATTTGAGCAGAGAGCCGACGGGTAGAAGCTGATGAATCTTCAAGTACGCTCTGCCGTACGGGTTCCACCGCTGCAGGAGTGCGCACAGTGCGCTTAGGATCTCTTCCCGGAGGATCGCCAACTGATCCAGTTCTTTCAAACCGGGTTATTAGGTCCCGAATCATTTTATCGCTAGGAGATACTCTGGCATTAAAATGTTGCCGGTATTTTCTCTAAGTTTGATCTTTCATTGGAATAGAAAATCTCAATGAGTTTCACTCGTTGTTAGGCGCCCTGGATATGACGATAAACTACATCCGCGTCTTGATTATGACGATAAACTACATCCGCGTCTTGGATATGACGATAAACTACATCCGCGTCTTGGATACGACGATAAACTACATGCGCGTCCTGGATATGACGATAAACTACATGCGCGTCCTGGGTATGGCGATAAACTACATCCGCGTCCTGGGTATGACGATAAACTACATGCGCGTCCTGGATATGACGATAAACTACATTCGCGTCCTGGGTATGACGATAAACTACATCCAAAATCAAGACCTCTGATGAAGATGTTTTGAGGATCGTGGAACCTCCTCTTAATTGCTGGTGTTCTCAGATTCACCCTAACCCGGGAGGTGGTAGCATCTGTTAGGGTCCCAAATAAGGACAAATAGTTAACCCCCAAACTTGGGTTAAAACAGAATGAAAGTGTAAATAATAGGTTGTAATACCAGCAACAAATATTTTGAGGAAAAACTTTTACCAGTAATACATTACCAGCAATACATATTTGAAGAAAACAAATTGCCATCAATACATTTCTGAAGGAAAAATATTACCAGCAATACATTTTTGGAATATTAAATGCAATAAAAATCATGTCGGCATTAAATAACCCATTGATGCTGATATGCCGTAAAAGCTTGTTGCTGGACATCATTCGTAGCCATTTTAATTGCCAAGGGATGCTCTGTAACCTGCAAAAAATAAAATAAAAATAATTGAATATGACTTTTTCGAATTCTTCAGTTTTTCAGTGGCCATCCTATATTTCTGGTCGAAGCTCACATTCTACAAATCCATGAATTTAAACTGCGATTTTGATAAATTAATTTGCTTTTTTTTTATTATTATTACAGAACCACCGCCACCGAAGAATTTGTCGGTGAAGAAACGCTTGAGCACTTCGGTAGTGGTGAGTTGGGAACAACCTGATGATCAAAGAGGTAATATTACCAAGTATCGTATTATCTATTGGGGTAAATCGGCTATTGCCAAAGGTCTCGAGGTGAAGTCATCGCGGTATTACAACGAGTACACAATCACAGGCCTGCAGCCTTATAACACGTACAAACTTCAGGTAAGAAATAAATCCTCCTTGTTTCGCTTTGATTCCATGAAATGATTTGCAAGTATTTCACGTAGATTAATTTAGATAACTCTCTTTACTATTTGTTATTGGAATTTTAATTTCGTATTTTTTATCATAACTTTCTTTTTTCTTTTCACCAACCAGGTGAGGTCTATAAATGGCGCTGGTGTGGGCCCGTCAGGTGAAGTGCTAACGTTCACCACCGACCAGTCTCGTAAGTTTTCTCAGTCTGTTTTTAACTAAATTATCAATATTTTTTTAAGCATTTCACCTCAAGCTAGGCGGGAGTGCCACTAGCACGCAACGGGTTACATAGAAAGCATAAAAGTGTGTTTGAGGAAAGGATAAATAGAAGGACGTGGATCAAGGTCAAGGTACCAGGAGATGTCGATTAACATTACATTTAAATTTTTGAAGATTATAGTTATCGGGGGGGGGGGGCAATTAAGAGGAAGGGAATTCCACTGCCAGGAAGTTCGAGAAAAGAAGCTCTTGGAGTAAAAGAGGCGGTTATATTTAACTGTTTCGATAGTAAAAGGGTAGGACCGAGATATCAACCTAGTAGCACACTTAAATCATGCAGAAGTGGCACCAGTGACAATAACTCGTCAGAGCAGATACCATGAAAATATTTGTAGAGGAGTGGGAGGTACATTACGTATGTGAGAAAGTGACTGGAGTCGGGATTGAATAATATCGCTACTGAAGTCATCGTGAAGAGGTTGACATATGAACGTTAGGTGACTTCATTATTTGTGTATATTTCGGAGATAAGGTATTGTAACTATTTATAATATTTACAGTTTTCGGACTGTTGTACCAGTGAATAAAAGCGTAGGTTGAACTGATCCAAGAGTTATGAGTTCAATACCTGTCCTCAGTAGGGGTGAACTAAAACGGTCAATTACTAAATGGAAACAACCGAAAATGAAATATCTGGAAGAGGCATGACATGTGGAACTGGATCAATCTACCCCGGTGAACGAAATATAGATTTCAGTTCGTAATTCAAATCACCTGATGAAGGACGAAGCGTACAACGGCCAAAACCTCTTGAATAGGACAACAAAGATGATGACAACATTCCGAATAATGTAAATAGTGAAAATATTTAGGGGATTTAGCAGCAGTGGCCACTGAATTAATTGCCTTGTTGGAAAATTCAAATTATTTTTATGATTTCATTCAATATATATATATATAGGTAAAAAATAAGAAAAGAAAAAGAAGAATATAATTATTGATGATAAGAATCATTTTCTTTATCAGAAACATCTACTAGTTGTCTTATAGAATTATGTAGAGGCAAATCTCGTCAGTAATAAATTGATCCCGTTGAGTTAACGCGTTTTCTCGCCGTCTTAGTTCTTCTGGTACATTAGATTATTTTACAAAGACAATTTTTGAAAATGAATTCAACAAATACGTACATATTTGTGTATGTGCTTTTTTTTTTAGTAAAATAAGTAGCACGCGCGACCGCACAAACACACACACATGCACACACATATGTGTATTTCTGTGTGTATATTTACTAATGTTGACCAAGAGCCACTCAAGGTAGAAGTTTAATGTGTGGACATATTATCGTAGGAAAGGACAAGCGTTAAGTATATAGAACTGAAGTAGATTATAAAATGAAACGGAAACATAATCATAAACAAGAAACAAACGATAAACTTTTATTACTTCCTTTTCAAAAGAGCGGGCGACGTGAGAACCGCACGATAGGTGAACCTATCTACTATTAATATATATATATATATATATATATATATATATATATATTATTTGAAAAACAACAGATACTTACTTGTATTTATATGTAATATTTATAAAACATGTATTTTAGCAACATTAAAATTGTGTTACTTACAAGTGTGTTTTCAGAACAAAATTGTTTTACTTTTATAAAAATTGTTATACATTTATTACTTGTCATACTTACTCTATATGACATGATTTTGAACAGACTTTTCTAACAATTTGAAATTTTACAAACACACACACATATATTTTCATGGATATGTTAGCTCTGATATTCAACGTTTTTCCAATAAGTACCATGAGTACATATATATATATATATATATTTGTGTATGTGTGTGCTTTATATATATATATATATATATATATATATATATATATATATATATATATATGTACACTTGTGTATGTGTGTGTGTATATATATATATATATATATATTAAGACAATTTATTTATTAAAGACATTTTATTATGTTTAACGTTGTTATTTTATAGATACAAGTATTTAAGCAAATGCTCTGTTTATGATAAACAGTATTAAATAACATTTACCGGCCTGAATGTCCGAGAAATTTTCATAGAAAATATTCGTTCTTTGACAGGATTCGAACCTGCATCCTATACGGAACCGTCATATACGCTGACCGCTAGGCCACAAAGAAGCGTTCGAATGTAAACAAATATATTAAGAAATGGACAAGGTCCGACAATTTATTTATTAAAGACATTTTATTATGTTTAACGTTGTTATTTTATAAACATAATAAAATGTCTTTAATAAATAAATTGTCGGACCTTGTCCATTTCTTAATATATGACGTCATTTGTTTACATTCGATACGCCAGAGCAGTTATGAATGTACGAGATTCATGGAAAATTGGAGTTTATAAGCAGTAAATTCGACCTTGTCTACCGAACGCTTCTTTGTGGCCTAGCGGTAAGGCACGTCAGCGTATATGACGGTTCCGTATAGGATGCAGGTTCGAATCCTGTCAAAGAACGAATATTTTCTATGAAAATTTCTCGGACATTCAGGCCGGTAAATGTTATTTAATACTGTTTATCATAAACAGAGCATTTGCTTAAATACTTGTATCTATAAAATAACAACGTTAAACATAATAAAATGTCTTTAATAAATATATATATATGTATATTGTGTGTCTGTGCGTATATATATATATATATATATATATATATATATATACAGTGTAACGGATATAAGAGACCGGGATATAAGAGAAACCCGGATATAAGAGAGATTTTCTCTGGTCCCAAAGTGTTCCCATACTTACCTAAACAAAACTCTCTTATATCCGCGTTACACTATATATATATATATATATATATATATATATATATATATATATACTCTAAAAAAGATATATACATTTTTATATATCTAGAACAATTGTAATGAAAACTATATCAAATCAGAAAAAACACCCTTATATATGACGCGTTTCGACCTTCAGAGAATCATCACATTAAAGAGATGTTTACAATTTGTGACAACACATGCACACAAAAGAGAGATTGTGCTGAAATTTTAACTATTTTTTTTCTTTTTAAATCGGTGTTTACGTATGTAGTCAAGTCGATTTCATATAGTTTATTTTTGCTTATGTGTCTATAACATTAAATAACTCACATTGTGATAATTTCCAAAATCATACATGTAACTAAAGGTACCACGTTGATAAAAAACGATTGTCAGAAGTTTAAAATGAAGTCATTTCCAATTAATTTTAAGTGACTGACAATCAGTTAATACTTTAGTTACATGGATGCCTGTAACATTTTTAGAGAGAACATAAAAACGCAACAATGATACCTCATCTGGCTTGTTCATACAATATTGAAAATTATATCAAAATTAAATGTTAAAGATAACATCCATTTAATTGCTATAACATACCAATTATATATATTTTTTTACCTAACGGCAAAGAAGAGGGTATGAAGCGTTTGTTACCAATACAAAATAGGGACGCATCTTTCTTAACTAATATTTCTCGAATGCGCAGGCAGATGAAAGTAATACACAACATAAAATCCGGAATGATCATTGGATTCTGTTTAAGAGCACAGAGAATGTCCAGCCCTCAATATTTACACTGAAGGGAGAAGTATATTGAATATATATTCAAGACCATTCATACTAAATGCGAAAAAAAAGGCCCATAAAATATTCCAAAATAGAAGAGATGGCTTCCTGGCAAAACAAACGAATCAAAAAAATATTAAATATATTATTCTAGCCAATCACTCTATCATAATTACAATCGAATATAACTTATCGAACTTCAACATGAAATTTGTCATAACTACATCTAAAACAACCAAAGACTTAATGAATAAAAAACAAAAGAACCAGACAAAACTTGAAGGAGGAATTTACTCTATCAAATTCAGTATTTGCCAGAATGAATACATTAGAGAAACCTCAAGAAGTATAAACAAGAGACTAAATGAACACAAAAGGAACATTTTAAATAACAACACACAAAACGCATTGGTTGTTCACCATAACAAAACGGGCCACAATTTTGACATAGGGAATGCTACTTTGATTAAAATAGAAAATAAACTACCGTGACAAAAATGTCTGGAAAGTGCCTTGATCGCTTGTTCAGCCATGATAAATCTGTATCCAAGCTCTTACAATATATCATCATTCTTGATAGATTTTATATTGTCAGTGCGTGAATAATCGGGGACAGAGGTGATGAAGAGAAAAAATAAAAGAATACAAATTAATCTGGCTAGACTGAAAAAAAATATTCTTTCAATGATTTTGAAATTTCCGCGGTTTCTTGTTTCGTGTACATGTGCATACGTGGCATCTTCAACAAAGCCCCGTCCGAGGAAATCTCAATGGATGAAACACGTCAAAAAAAAAACAATTTCTAGTTTGTCAGATTTTTCTAAACACACATTTTAATTTATAACAAAGTATTTAATAACGTTTCAAGCAATGGAGAGAGACACGGGTTTTTTTTTTTATTTGATTGTGTTTAGCGGTATATCAACTGTTATGGGTTATTTAATTTAGTTTTCTGGTTTCAATTACAGATATAATGTATTGTTTGTCATTTTGCTATAAAATTTATTGTTATTGAGTCCGCTTTAAAAATGTATTTTTGATAATTTTTTTATAAATCTGTATCTTTAGCAATCTTTTTATATATTGCAGTTATTTTTAGTATAAAAATGTAGATTTATACATTAATAGTGTTCGTGAGGGCCACATTATTTTCTCATAGTTGGGACCATAGCAGGTGCTACCACAACGGATTAGTGTGGAGCTGGGAAGAACAGCAATTAGAATCAAAACTTCTAATCACCCAAGAGGCTTTGCTGCCGGATGTAGTTTATCCTCATACCCAGGACTAGAGAGACAGACAGACAGACAGACAAACAAGACAGACATCCAGACACACA